TTTATCCTCTCCTCTTCACTACCCTTCCTGGCCTCTGGTAATCATCATTCTACTCTCTGTCTACATGAGATCAATGGTTTCTAGTATTAGGTTGGTGCAAAAGTAATTGTGGTTTTAGCATTGTTGAAATTGGAATTGATATGCCAATTGATATTGGAATACATTCTTAAATAAATGTGGTTATGTTATACATCATTTTAATGCACATTTCTTGCTTTATGCTTTTTGCTAATGACTTATTATTTGCTGTTTATATTTATTTTAGACTACGGAAATGTTAGACACAAAGCAAATTCAAGCGATTTTCTTATTTGAGTTCAAAATGGGTTGTAAGGCAGAGGAGACAACTCGCAACATCAACAATGCAGTTGGCCCGGGAACTGCTAACAAATGTACAATGTGGCGATGGTTCAAGAAGTTTTGCAAAGGAAAGGGAGAGCCTTGAAGATGAGGAGCACAGTGGTTGGCCATCGGAAGTTGATAACAGAACTCAATGTTGACCATTCTATGGCATTTGAAGCGAGTTGGAAAGGTGAAAAAGCTGGATAAGAGGGTGCCTCATGAGCTGACTGAAAATCATAAAAATCATTGTTTTGAAGTGCAATCTTCTCTTATTGTACACAACAAAGAAAAATTTCTCGATCGGATTGTGATGTGCAACGAATAGTGGATTGTATACAACTGGCGATGACCAGCTCAGTAGTTGCACCAAGAAGAAGCTCCAAAGCACTTCCCAAAGCCAAACATGTACCAAAAAAGGTCCTGGGCACTGTTTGGTGGTCTGCTGCCAGTCTGATCCACTATAGCTTTCTGAATCCCGGTGAAACCATGACATCTGAGAAGTATGCTCAGCAAATCGATGAGATGCACTGAAAATTGCAATGCCTGCAGTCGGCATTGGTCAACAGAAAGGGCCCAATCTTGTCCACATCTGACCACATGTCACACAACCAACACTTCAAAAGTTGAATGAGTTGGGCTACGAAGTTTCGCCACATCCGCCATATTCACTTGACCTCTCGCCAACTGACTACCACTTCTTCAAGCATCTCAACAACTTTTTGCAGGGAAAACACTTCCACAACTAGCAGGATGCAGAAAATGCTTTCCAACAGTTTGTTGAATCCTGAAGCACGTTACGTTACAGGAATAAACAAACTTGTTTCTCGTTGGCAAAAATGTGTTGATTGTAATGGTTCCTGTTTTGACTAATAAAGATGTATTTGAGCTTAGTTATAATGATTTAAAATTCATGGTCTGAAACCACAATTACTTTTGTACCAACTTTAATATTTAGCTTCCACGTATTAGTGAGAACATGCAAGATTTACCTTTCTGCGCTTGGCTTATTTCACTTAACATAATGTTCTCCAGTTCTATCTATGTTGCTGCAAATGGCAGGATTTCATTCCTTTGTGTGGCTATGTAATATTGCATTGTATATATGTATCACAATTTCTTTATCCATTCATCTGTTCATAGACACTTAGGTTGATTCCAAATCTTGGCTACTGTGAATAGCGCTACATTAAACATGGGAGTGCAGACATCTTTGCCATATACTGATTTCCCCTCCTTTGCATATATGTTGCCTGCAGTGAGATTGCTGGGTCATATGGTTGTTCTATTTTCAGTTTTTTTGAGGAACCTCTACACTCTTCTCCATAGTGGTTGCACTAATTTATATTCTCACCATCCGCGTACAAGGGTTCCTCTTTCTCCACAACCTCACCAGTATTTGTCATTGCCTGTCTTTTTGATAAAAGCCATTTAACTAAGCTATCTCATTGTAGTTTTGATTTGCATTTCTCTGATGACTAATGATGTTGAGCATTTTTTCATATACCTGTTGGCCATCTGTATGTCTTCTTTTGAGAAATGTCTATTCAGATCTTTCACCCATTTTTTAATCGAATTATTTTATTTTTTTCCTATTG